GATGCTCACAAGCATCTTCAGACCAAGCCAACCTCAAATCCCCTGGGAACATGTCCTTTTCAGTCTACCAGGGATCCTCATTCACTCTTTTACTTTTTAAAAAATATTATTCTTTAATTGTTGAAAGTATTATATATGTCCCCCCCCATTGACACCCCTTTGCCCACCTCTCCTCAGATCTTCAGCACCCTGTTGTCTTGTCCATGGGTTATGCATATATGCATACAAGGTCTTTGGTTGATTACCTCCCACCCACCCACCCTCCCCTGTCTTTCCCTCTGAGATTCCACACTCTGTTCCATGCTTCGAGTGTCTGGATCCACTCTGATCATCAGTTTATTTTGTTACATAGATTCCACATATGAATGTGATCATGTGATGCTTGTCTTTCTCTGACTTATTTCACTTAGCATCATACTCTCCAGGTCCCTCCATGCTGTCTCAAAGGGTAAGAGATTCTTCTTTTTTACTGCTGTATAGTATTCCATGGTATAATGTACCAGTGTTTTTATCCACTCATCTGCTGATGGGCACTTGGACTGTTTTCAGATCTTAGCTATTGTCAATTGTGCTATGAACACAGGGGTGCATACGATCTTTCTGATTGGTGCTTTGGGTTTCTTAGGATATATTCCTAGAAGTGGGATTACTGGGTCAAGTGGCAAATCCAATATTAATTTTTTGAGGAAACTCCATACTGTTTTCCATAATTGATTGCATCAGTCTGCATTCCCACCAGCAGTGTACTAGGGTTCTCTTTTCTCCACATCCTCGTCAACACTTGTCATTTGTTGATTTGTTGATGGTAGCTATTCTGACAGGTTTGAGATGGTACCTCATTGTCATTTTATTTTGCATCTCCGAGATGATTAGTGACTTTGAGCATTTTTTCATGTCTCTTGGTCATTTGTATGTCCTCTTTAGAAAAGCGTCTAGGTCCTTAGCCCATTTTTTAATTGATTGTCTTTTGTTAAGTTGTATGAGTTCCTTATATATATACTAGAGGCCTGGTACACAAATTTGTGCACCAGTGGGGTCCCTCGGCCTGGCCTGCGGGATTGGGCCGAAACCGGCTCTCCGACATCCCCCAACAGGTCCCAGATTGCGAGAGGGTGCAGGCCAGCCCAAGGGACCCCACCAGTGTAAAAACAGGGCTGGGGAGGAGTGCAGGAGGTTAGCCAGCCAGGGAGGAACCATGGGAGGGCTCCAGGGCATGTCTGGCCCTTCTTGCTCAGTCCAGATCAGCTGGACCCAGCAGCAAGCTAACCTACCAGTTGGAGCATCTGCCCCCTGGTGGTCAGTGCACATCATAGTGACTGGTCTACTGGTTGACTATCTGCCCCCTGGTGGTCAGTGCACGTCATAGCGAGCGGTTGCACAGCCTTAGCATATCATGCTTTGATTCGTTGAATAGATGACCAGACACTTAGCATATTGGGTTTTTATTACATAGGATATATTTTAAAATATTTTTATTGATTTCAGAGAGGAAAGGAGAGAGATACAAACATCAATGATGAGAATCATTGATTGGCTGCCTCCTGCATGCCCCCTACTGGGGATCAAGCCCAAACCTGGGCATGTGCCCTTGACTGGAATTGAACCCAAACCCTTCAGTCCGCAGGCCAACACTCTACCCACTGAACCAAACTGGCCAGGGCTCCTTATATATTTTGGATATTAACACTTTATCAGATGTATCATTGCTAAATATGTTCTCCCATACAGTTGGCTCTTTTTGTTTTGTTGCTTTCTTTTGCTGTGCAGAAGCTTTTTATTTTGATGTAGTCCCATTTGTTTCTTTTCTCCTTAGTTTCCTTTGCACTAGATGTGTCTATAAACACATTGCTACAAGAGACGTCAGATTTTGCTGCCTATTGTTTCTTCTAGGATTTTTATGATTTCATGATTTACATTTAAGTCTTTTATCCATTTTGAGTTTATTCTTGTGTATGGAGTAAGTTGGTGGTCGTTTCATTTTTTTGCAGATATCTGTCCAATTTTCTTTCCCAGCACCTCTTTTACTTTTTAAAAAACATATTGATTTCAGAGAGGAAGGGAGGAGAGAGGTAGAAACATCAATGATGAGAGAATATCATTAATTGGATGCTTCCTGCACACCACCCACTAGGGATCGAGCCCATAACCTGGGCATGTGCCCTGATGAGGAATTGAACCGTGCGTGATCGCCTGGTTGATAGGATGATGCTCAACCACTGAGCCATGCTGGCTGGGCTGCTGTACTATTCTTTTAAAATATATTTTTATTGATTTCAGAGAGGAAGGAAGGGAGAGGGAGAAATAGAAACATCAATGATGAGAATCATTGATTGGCTGCCTCCTGCAAGCCCCACACTGGGGATCAAACCTGCAACCCCGGGCATGTGCCCTTGACCAGAATCAAACCCGGGACCCTTCAGTCCGCAGGTTGATGCTCTATCTGAACCAAACTAGCTAGGGCTGCAGTATTTTCTTTTTAATATATTTTATTGATTTTTTTACAGAGAGAAAGGGAGAGGGATAGAGTGTTAGAAACATCGATGAGAGAAACATCGATCAGCTGCCTCCTGCACACTCCCCACTGGGTATGTACCTGCAACCAAGGTACATGCCCTTGGCCGGAATCAAACCTGGGACCCGTGAGTCCGCAGGCCGACGCTCTATCCACTGAACCAAACCGGTTAGGGCAGGGCTGCAGTATTTTTACTGAAACAGATCAACATGGTCTATGGCTCTTGGTATGCACCTAGTGATCTTCCCATCCTCATCAATAAAGAGGATTAAAGGCAGTTCACAATTAAGAGGGAAGAACAGAATATGCTTAATTTCTTGACTCCAGGGCCTGATCAACCCTCCTGCTACTTCACAAAGAGACCTTGATTTCCTGGACATTCTGTGGAACATTATTCTAGTGATGACATCATAATAATCAGATTTGGTGAAAAGGAAGTAGCAAGTGTATTGGTTCCCTCAGTAAAACACACATGTACCAGAGCATGGGAGGTAAACCTTATAAAGATTCAAGGGTCTTTTATATCAATTAAGTTTTTTTTTAAATTTATTTTTTCTTAATGTTTTTGATTTTAAAGAGAGGGACAGAGATGGATGAGAGAAAAACATCATTGATTGGCTACCTCCTGCACACCCGCATTGGGGATCGAGCTCCCAACCTGGCATGTGCTCTAATTAGGGATTGAACTGATGACCTCCTGGTTCATGGGTCAATGTTCAACCACTGAGTCACACTGGCTGGGCTCAGTGAAGTTTTTAAGGGTCCAAATATCTGAGGCATGCTGGGAAATTCTAAGGAACAAATTATTGCATCTTGCCCTCACTACTAAGAAAAAGGCAGTGTTTGAAGAGCCTCTTTGGATTTTGGAAGTACCATACACTTTCAAGTGTGGCCCAGAATCATGGAGCCCAAGTGCCATGTGACCGGCAGATTCAGATGGTGTTAGAGAAAAATGTGTAGAGGTCTCATAAGCCCTAGTAGGAGCTTGCCAATAGAATTCTAGAGCAAGGCCATGCCTTCTACAGCAAAGAACTATTCAGTTTGAAGAGCAGCTCCTGTAACTGCTGATCATGTAACTGGAGCTGTTGATCACAGCTGAGTATGCTCTGATTCATTAAATCAGGTGGACACAACAACAATCCATTATATGGAAGAAATGTCACATTTGCGATCAGGCATGAGCAGGTCCAGTCACAGGTTATATAAGCAGGAAGCTCTCACCTGTGTCACCTGCCTTTGCTGAACCGATACCTCCCTCTGCTCATACCTGTGAACTCATGGAAGGCTCCCTTAGACTTGTTGGTGGAATAAACCTGCGGTCTGTTTCACAGTCAGCTCAATGTCAGCATGAATCAAGAAGGCATTGTTAATTCCGTGTGCTTCCTCGGGAGTGAAATCTGGTGGGCAGAGCTGCAGGCAGGCTATCTGGCACCAACTTTGTTTGGAGGAAGTAGTAACCTGAGGTAGATTCCATGGCCTCTTGGGCTGTGGCAAACAGCCTGTCTAGATAACGGGCCTGCAAAGAATAAGGTTGAAAGTCTGGGGACAGGATCTGAGGAAGATTTCAGCTTAAGGACAGATGGACCAAAGGGGGCTGAAACAAAGTGTGTTGATCTTTGTGTCATTAATCAATGCCCCTCAGAAAGTACCCACTGCACAGAAGGTTTCAGGAAAATAAGGGGCAGTACAGATAGGGATCCATTCACCTCACCAAAGGAGGATGAGGCAGGTCTTGAGGCTTAGCAGCTCTACCTTCATTTCCCTCAAGTGGAGCAGCTCCAGGAGCCTACAGATAATCAGCTGCTTCTAATCACCGAGTTCTTTCTGTGTGGGCCTTCATCATGGTTAATATATAAATAGGAGAGCTCCCATTAAAGGTACTGAGCTAGGGTGCTGGCAGGACATCAGGTCATCAGCAAGCTACTGGAACAGTAAAAACATTTCAGATTTCCAGCACAATTGATTTTTTTTTTTAAGTAATGACTAATACATTTGGCTGGTGCATAAAGACTACCTGTAGTTTAATCTGATCCCAGGGTGGCATACTGGCAGTTTCCAGAGATCAGAACTGGTACTAGACATGACACTTTCTTGTTGTCCCTAATCCTGGCATATCAGGTTTGTTGAACACTATGGCTGCAGCAGTAGACAAAAAGGTATTTTAGTGACTATTAGTAAGAGGTGAAAAAAACTCAGAACAACAAGATAAGCAAGTGATAGGAGGAAGGAGTGAAGTAGTTGGTTTCTAGGCAACAGGAAGACTTACCTACTGGCCAAAAGATTTTTTATAAGGTAGAAAAATATCTTAAGAAATAAAAGAGACTGCAGTCAGAAAGAAAAGATGGGATGGGTTTAAGTTAATCAAACTGGGTATTATTGACTTCTGGAGTTTAGAAGAATGAAGCTTCTGAGGGAGAATCAGTTTTTCACAGACTTTGGCAGAGACAAGAGTATACACAACCAAAATGCACAAGAGGCTGACAAAATGTTCCCAGTGATGAAAAAAATGTATTCAGTATGTAGGGGAAAAAAAGCACAGACCAAAATGCAACTATTCTACACACTACTGCAATTTCCTAATACACACATTCATTCACAAGTACTACATATTCTATTTACCCCAAATCCAAATTTCCCAAAAAGATAAACTAGTAGGAATACTTTTTCTTTCTAAATAGTGTTCAATAAACAACATACCATTTATTGTAACAGTCCTGAAGTATTACAAGATGTTATAAATTTATTCTGAATCAGATTAGATTATGTTCAAATGGCTCAATTCTTTACAAATCATAATTCTTTAATGTATGATAAAAGTTAAACAGTCATAATGCTTTCTCCGTAACTATACTTGATACACATCACTTTAACTATACAAAAGGCAATGCCGGCATGGTTACTGGGACCTGAAGTGTGGTGAGGGGATCGGCTTCAGTTAAGCTGGCGAGGAATCCCCTTCCTTCCTACTGTACCATTCTCTCACTCCTCCAGGGTCTCTTGATGTTGAATGAAACAAAACCTAGCACTTAAGTCTATATTACAATTATCTGACTTCTCCCTAGCATACACGTTCTAGTTACAAACACACACACACACAATAACACCGAGAGCCTACTTGACAGTTAAAGCACTTCTCCCTCTCCAGTGTGGACTCTCTGATGTTTGGAAAGATTTGACTTGCTACAGAAGGTTTTCCCACAATTATTACACCAATAGGGCTTTTCCCCAGTATGGATTCTATGATGTTTATTAAAATTGGAGCTGTGGTTGAAAGCTTTTCCACACTCCTTACATTTATATGGCTTTTCTCCAGTGTGGAGTCTCTGATGAGAACTAAGACCTGCATGCTGACTAAAGCTCTTCCCACATTCATTACACTGATAAGGTTTCTCTCCAGTGTGTATTCGATAGTGTCGAATGAGGCTGCCTTTACCACTGAAAGCTTTCCCGCAATCTTTACACTGATATGGTGCCTCTTCGGTGTGCATGCGCTGATGTTTAAGGAGATCTGAGCTCTGACCGAAGGCTTTTCCACACTTACAGTCATAGGGCCGGTCCACCAAGTGTGTTCTGTAATGAAGGGTAAGGTTTGAGCTGTGGCTGAAGGCTTTTCCACATTTGGTGCATACATAGGGTTTTTCCCCAGTGTGTGTTCTCCGGTGTTTAGTAAGATTTGAGCTATTGCTAAAGGCTTTTCCACACTCAGCACATATGTAACGTCTCTCTCCTGGGGCAGGTTTAGTGGACATTAATTCTCTACCTTTCTTGGAACCTTTGTCTAGGAGAGAGGTTTTTTTTCCTCTTTCTTTTTCAAGGTTTACCCATTGCCTTTCTAACCTGGCCTCAAATTTATTGGCAATAACCATGGGAGTAATATCCTTTTTGAATTCTTCTGCATGAGACTCTTCAGAACTTTTCTGCATATCTGTTGATTCCTCATTCTGGGTATTCGATTTACAATCTGAAACAATAAGTAGAATAAGGACATGTGAATTGTTTCCTGTTCTGAGACGAAACTGTTAAAGGACAAAGAGAATCATCGAATGACATTGATAGATTTTTAAGGGTGACCAAATATTGCTTTATGAGAGTTCACAATATCACAATTATACAAATAAGTCATCATCAAATCTAGTTTACAATATCAGACTTTCACACAAGCTGCCTACCAAAAGCTATGATGGTATGAAGAGTACATGGCTTTTTCTGCTAGGAGGAGAACTTCATATATAAAGGGCAATAAGGCAAAGCCAAGCATATAGCAGCAAAGGAAGATAGGAGATGCTTGGGCAGAATGAAACAAGTTAGAAATATTGCTGAAGGGTCAATCTGATTAAGGAAAATAAAAGAATAATTAAGGGAGAAGAGACTAGTGGCAAACTCAAAAAATCTATATGCTCATAGAAGCTAAATATCTATATATATAAAAGGCTAAGTTGACTTGTGCATGCGCGATACATAAAGTTCTCGCTGGTGCCAATCACATGCATGTGTTTCCATCTGTCATTGTCGATCGTGAATTCGGTTGACACTTCTATTATAGAGAAAGGGTGAATAGCAATATTAAAATATTTCTTCTAATTAATTTCCTTTTGAAATGCATGAATTTGTGCACCAGACCACTAGTAAAAGCAATAAAAGAGAACATTCAGTCCATTTATAATCATTCTAGTCCCAGATCCTCCTCCTCCAACTTTAATATGTTTTTATTGATTTTTTTAGAGTGAGAGGGAGAGGGAAAGAGAAACATTGATTGGTTGCCTTCTGCACACCCCCTACTGGGGATTGAGCCCACAACCTGGGCATATGCCCTGACTGGGAATCGAACCAGTGAACTCCTGGTGCATGGGATGAAGTTTAACCAACTGAGCCACACTAGCCAGGCCCAGATCCTTCTTAATTTAAGTGAAAGTACTTAACTCCCACCAGGGTTCAACTCTTATAATTTAATCTACATCAGCTAGGTCTTGTTATTCTTTTAATTATCAAGTATCACTGTTGAAATCAGATTGAAGCAGTACATCTTTTAAGAGCATTTCACTAGGCAGTCACACTGCTAAAAGTCCATCTACTCATCCACACACAAGGAAAGGGGAGTAATAGAAGTTTCCTCTGAAAAATGGACTCCTCTTTTTTTTTTCTTAATATATTTTTATTGATTTCAGAGAGGAAGGGAGAGAAAGAGAGAAAAACATCAACAAGGAGAATCATTGATCGCCTGCCTTCTGCACACCCCACACAGGGGATCAAGCCCGCAACCCAGGCATGTGCCCCTAACCAGAGTCGAACCTGGGATCCTTCAGTCCACAGTCCGATGCTCTATCCACTGAGCCAAACTGGCTAGGGCAGTGATGGCGAACCTTTTGAGCTCGGTGTGTCAGCATTTTGAAAAACCCTAACTTAACTCTAGTGCCGTGTCACATATAGAAATCTGCAACCATAGTAAAACAAAGACTTATATTTTTGATATTTATTTTATATATTTAAATGCCATTTAACAAAGAAAAATCAACCAAAAAAATGAGTTCGCGTGTCCCCTCTGACACGTGTGTCATAGGTTCGCCATCACTGGGCTAGGGCAAAATGGGCTCCTCTTAAGCACAGTCTTCCCTCCATGGGTACAAAAGTCCCACTTGACAAAGGTACCTCCCTCTAGTCCCCTTTTCCTTATCCCTCTGTCTCTGTCTCCTGACCATCTATTTCCTTCCTCTGTCAGCAGTAACCACTCAGCTGCTTCCAGGCTCACCCCTTACTCACTGTCTGCAGCAGTGGGAGCTAAAATCTCTCTCACGCTCCATGAGGAGCAATCACGTGGCTGCTCATACAGGCTACCCTTCAAGTTGCCATGAACTATGTGTAGGAAATAAGTTAACTTAAAAGTTAAAAATTTTAAATAGCCCGGGGCAGAAGTTGAATAAATTTACCAGGGATCATTTCTGCATAATCCAAAGCTGATTATATATATAACAGGCTCACTAAATCATTAACAAATGAATGGTTCCTACCTTGATTCTGTCTTAGCTCTGGAGTGAAATCCTGCTCTTCACCAGTCTCTTGGATGTATAGGGGTCCCCAAGATTCATATTTGGGACTTGTTTCCACAGACTGTGGCCGGCTGCTGCTCAGAGATTCCTTTGCTGTTCCTGAAGAGGACATCTTCTCCCATGCCTGTTTCTGTTCATTTGGAGGAGGTGAAACCTAGACAATTAGGAATGGCTGGATTTGTCCACAGCTCACTTTATTATTATTATTTTTTATAACAGTTGCAGTGAATCTCTTGAGTGTGACTCTATGTACACATGCAACTGTTTCTTTAATGATACTTCTTTTTTAAAAAAAAATATATTTTATTGATTTTTTACAGAGAGGAAGGGAGAGGGATAGAGTTTGAAACATCAATGAGAGAGAAACATCCATCAGCTGCCTCCTGTACACCCCATACTGGGGATGTGCCCACAACCAAGGTACATGCCCTTGACCGGAATTGAACCTGGGACCCTTCAGTCCACAGGCCGATGCTCTATCCACTGAGCCAAACCAGTTAGGGCCACAGCTCACTTTTGAACTAAAATGAAAGAAAATCTCAGGAGAGCTATGTAGAATCTCTAGGAAAGAGAAAAGAGAAACACCCTCCCATTCAATTCTCAAGGCTAAAGCTAGTGTAGGATAGTAGGAAAAAGAGGAGGAAACATGGTCTAAATCAGTAGAAACGCCCCCCGCCCCCCCCTTACCTGCTGCCTTGGTTCATCCAGTTCTTGCTCCAGGTCTTCCAGGAGAGTGACAGCCTCTTCAGCACTCTCTGGACAGTGCTCCTGTACCCAGGCCTGCAGCTCCCGGGGCAGGATGGTCAGGAACTGCTCCAGCACCAGCAGCTCCAGGATCTGCTCCTTGGTGTGGATCTCGGGCCTCAGCCACTCACAGCAGAGCACCCGGAGCTGGCTCAGGGCCTCCCGGGGTCCAGGTGTGTCATGGTATCCAAACTGCCTGAAGCGCTGGCGGAACATCTCCAGGCTGGGAAAGCACTTCTCCTTCTCCTCCTCCTCAACTTTCACAACCACAGGCCCCGCCTGCTCCTGTAGAGGCCCACGGCCCAGGCCTGCGGCCACGCCCAGGACCTTGGTCATCATAGGGCCTCACTAAAGATGGGCTCTTTGTAGAAGGAATATTGGTTCCTTTGAGTTTCTGGTTCTTCAGGACTACAGGCTCAACCTAAGAAAAAATGGTTACCATAAAATTACCAAAATAAGTATTTTTAAATTTTGGTCTTACAGTTACACTTTCAGCACAAGAAATTGTGGAAATTATGGCCACTATAATACTACCATGTAAAAATTACTATTCAAATCTCTCTGGAGTTAGCTCAGAATACCCTACTTTGATTTTACTTCCAAAAAAGCACACTGGGCCCAGCTGATGTGGCTCAGTGCAGGGTTCAGTTCCCAGTCAGGGCGCATGCCTGGGCTGTGGGCTTGATCCACAGTAGGCGCGTGCAGGGGGACCAATTGATGTGTCTCTCACATCAGTATTTCTCTCAGAAAAAAGGAAAGAATATTTCAGGTGAGGATTACCCCCCCGGCCCTCTCCCCCAAAGTGCACTTGGCATAATTTAAAAATTAAATTTACATTAACTGTGCTCTGAAAACTTTTTTAGGCCCTTAGAACTCCTGAGGTTTCAACAGGCTATTGCTGGCCAGAAATATACATTTATGTCAAAGCTTTAAATTAGGTGTTTAGATTCACACATTTAGTGAATAATATTTATTTTTGTGATCAACTTTTGCAATTTAAAAAAAATGTGAAATGGGATTTTGGTAACAGAACCTCAGTATGTAACCTTGCTTTTATGAAAAATTCAATAATTATCAGAATTCTAGGGATGTCAGTACTTGGGACTCCCCTCCACTGTACCAATGCGGAAGCATTCTATGAGATGTCAGCAGGTGTCCTGACAGGGTGAACCAGACAGCACCATCCACTCACTCCCTAATGCTGTCCTACACACCCAATTCGCTGCTGGAGCTCCCCAGTTCAGTATTACTTGAGAATTGAGCCAGGAAAGAAACACTGCCATTAGCCTCCTAAAATAAAGGCGCTGGCACCGAAGACCACAGGTGTAGCAGTGCTGGGAGCATTTCTTAGGTATGCTTAAAAGTCGACGTCAGTGTTGAACAACTACATACTTGGTTACAAAATTTCACACTCCAGCCAGAGGAGGGCAGTCCAACAACAGGAAAGACATCAGAACCTGTTTGGGCTACTTAGCTTCTGGGATCCAACTACAACTGCCAATTTACCTCCAGCCTGGACCTCTCTTTTGAAGGTTAGACTTATATGACCAACTACCCACTTGACACTGCCACCAGCCTGTCCAAAGTCATCTCAAGCTAAACATGTCCAAAACTGCACTTCCCATCTTCCCCCCAAAGCTGCTCATCTCAGTTAATGGCAGCTCTACTGCTCTGTTTTCATGGACCAAAAAAAGTGGTCATCCCTGATTCCTCTCTTGTTTACATTCTGCATATAATTCATAAGTAAATCCTGTTAGCTCTACATCCAAGAGATACAGAGTTCAACCTTCAACACTGCCATCCCAGTCCATCACCAGCAGCCGCCTAATTGCTTCCACTCTTACCTCAGTCCATTCTCAAC